TCAGCGAATCGTGCCGCCGGCTCTGGCCCACCACTTTCGGCACGATACGCTCAACACGTTGCAATCCGCAAGCATGAACGTTCCGAGCTTTTCTCAGCCTCCCGTCCGACGAGGCAGCGCGACACTATACCAACTTGCAAAACATAGCGTGTCGCAAGGGTGGCCACCGCGACACGCTAAGCCAAAATTGGTCTTGGGGCCGAGCCCCCAGCACCCGTGTAGTAGAGGAACGAACAACTGCAAAACATAGTTCCCCGGAGGCCCGCGCGGATTTCTTGGATCGGCGCTTACCCCCTCCCTGGCGCGCGGAGCGCGCCAGGGGCGGCGTCGGAGGTGCCGCCAGGAGGCCCCAGCGCCGATCCAAAAAGTCCGCGCCGACCTCTGCGAACGCATGTCCATGCCTTTTCGCTGTTCTTCGGCATCGGGAGCCGACCACCCTCAGCGCCCGCATTCGCGTCGGGTCCAGGAGCCGAGCTCCCGACACCCGCATGGGCCACGCTCGGGGCCGAGCCCCCCGGGCGGCTGCACACCGAGCTCCTGGGGACCCGAGTCACCGTCGGAAGCATCCTGCTCCGCGCGCCCTGCCCTCTCCAGGTCGACGGGGGAGTCCTGACAGCGCCCAGACTCCGAGATGGCCCAGCTCGGGGGGCCTGTGCTCTGGATGCTGCTGCGCACTGTTTTGGAAGTCCGCCGACCCATTGTGGGTCTCTAGGCGTGTGAAATAGTTCCCGCCCGCCCCATACCCCCCCCAAGGGATCCCAAACCGGAGATTTGACCCCCCCCCCTCGCCCCGGACGAGCGCACCACGAAGCCTTTCCGGGCCCAAGAGGGCCTCAAGACGGGCCTGGAAAGCCCCAAGAGGCCTCCAAAACGGCCCACAAGGGCCCCAAGGCGCTAAACAAGCGCTCCAAGACGCCCTGGCTGGCCCAAAGATGGGCTCAGAGGCCTCCAAGACGGCCCAAAAGGTCCCCAAGAAGCCCCAAGAGGCCTCCAAGATGCGTCCCAAGAGGGTTCCTAGACGCAAATTTATCCCGGCAAAGCAACCTAACAGCGATGTGTAGGACGATATCTGTAAGCATTCCCCTTAAGATTCATATGAGAATCCTGTTGTAGAATTCTGCTGTTCTCGCAGTCGTAGTCGCATTCGCGATGGCAGTCGCAGTGGCAACGGCAGTCGCAGTCACAGCCTCAGCCTGCCTCAGCCTCAGCCTCAGCCTGCCTCAGCCTCAGCCTGCCTCAGCCTCAGCCTCAGCCTGCTTCAGCCTCAGCCTCAGTCTGCCTTCAGCCTCGGCCTCAGCCTCAGCCTGCCTCAGCCTCAGCCTCAGCATCAGCCTCAGCCTGCCTCAGCCTCAGCCTGCCTCAGCCTCAGCCTCAGCCTCAGCCTCAGCCTCAGCCTCAGCCTCAGCCTGCTTCAGCCTCAGCCTCAGTCTGCCTTCAGCCTCAGCCTCAGCCTGCCTCAGCCTCAGCCTGCCTCAGCCTGCCTCAGCCTGCATCAGCCTCAGCCTCAGCCTCAGCCTCAGCCTCAGCCTCAGCCTGCCTCAGCCAGCCTGCCTCAGCCTCAGCCTCAGCCTGCCTCAGCCTCAGCCTCAGCCTGCCTTCAGCCTCAGCCTCAGTCTGCCTTCAGCCTCGGCCTCAGCCTCCTCAGCCTGCCTCAGCCTCAGCCTCAGCCTGCCTCAGCCTCAGCCTCAGCCTGCCAGCCTCAGCCTCAGCCTCAGCCTGTGGCCCGGGAATGGAGTTCTGGGAACTCGAAGAACACGAAGTGGCCTACAGTTGGCTCTGGGCATTCAAAATCATACCCAGGAATGGAGTTCTGGGAACTCGAAGACCACGAAGTGGCCTACAGTTGGCTCCGGGCATTCAAAATGTGGCCCGGGAATGGATTTCTGGGAACTCGAAGAGCACGAAATGGCCTACAGTTGGCTCCGGGCATTCAAAATGTGGCCCGGGAATGGAATTCTGGGAACTCGAAGACCACGAAATGGCCTACAGTTGGCTCCGGGCATTCAGAATGTGGCCCGGGAGTGGAGTTCTGGGACCTCGAAGACCACGAAGTGTGTAACTGGTGGCTAAAACCAAATTCCCGGCACTCCTCGGGATCGCGCCCAGACCCTCCTGGGGCGTCATGATGCTATTTTTGACCCTACTAGAAACCTATCAGTCTTCGCTGTTAGGTAACTTGGCCACTTCCCTTCGTGAAACATACCATTTTCATATATTCGCCTTCTGGGCTTTCCGATGCTCTGAGACGGCCCAAGAAGACCCCAATACGACCCCAAGACGGCTCAAGAAGCCTCCAAGAGGGCCCCAAGATAGCCCAAGCGGGCCCCAAGACAGCCCAAGAGGCGTCCAAGACGGCCCAAGATGGCCCCGAAGACGGCCCCAAGAGCGCTCCAGGAGCGCTCCAAGTCGCCTCCCAGAGAGCTCAATATGGTCCCAGACGGACCAAGAGCGATCAAAGACATGCCTCCAGCGGTCCGAGATGCCCCCAAGAGGCCCCAAGAGGCATCCAAGATACGACCCAAGAGGGCCTCTAACCGCAAAAGTTGGCCCGTTTCCTTTGTGAAACGTAGATGTTTCACAAATTCGCCTTTTGGGCTTTCCGACGCTCCCAGACGGCCCCAGAGGCCTCCAAGACCGCCCCAAGACGGTCCAAGAAGCGTCCAAGAAGGCCCTAAGACAGCCCAAGAGGGGCCCAAGACGGCTCCAGAGGCGCCAAAGACGGCCCCAGAGAGCCCTGAAGACGGCCCGAGAGCGCTCCAAGCGCTCCAAGAGCGCTCCAACTGGCTTTCAAGAAAATTCCACATGGTCCCAGACGGTCCAAGAGCGATCAAAGACACCCGAGATGGCCTCCAGATAGCCCAAGACGCCCCCAAGATGCCTCCAAGATGCCTCCAAGGTGCGTCCCAAGAGGGTCCCTAGACGCAAAAATTTGCTCATCTCCTTTGTAAAACGTATATGTGTTTACACATTCGCCGTGTGGGCTTTCCGACGCTCCAAGACGGCCCAAGAGGCCCCGAAGACCGCCCCAAGACACCCCAAAAGAACCCTCCCAAACGGCCCCACGACGGCCGAATATGGCCCCAAGACGGCCCAAAAGGGCCCCAAGACGGCCCAAGAAGGCTCCCAGACGGCATCAAGAGGAGCCGAAGAGGGCAACCAAAAACTCAAAATTCTACTTGGCCGCCCCCGGGAGCCCCAGGGAACCCGAAGAGTGCCCCAAGAGGCCGCCAGAGGCCCCCAAAAGGCGGCCAAGACGCCCCAAGGAGCTCCCAAAAGGCCCCCAGGAGGCCACACAAAGACTCCCAGAGCCTCCGAAACGGCCCCCAAGTGGCGTCAAAACTGTTTTCCAAAGGCTCCCGAGAGGCGCGCCGCGAAAACCCGATACACATACAAGCGGCCTCCAATCCATAACCCATAACCCAGAGCCTCCTCTCTGTGCCCCCCTCCTTCTCCTCCCCCTCCTTCTCCACCTCGGCCCCCTAGGCCCCCGAGAGGCGGCGTCAAAACTGCCTTCCACAGGCCCCCGAGAGGCGCGCCACGAGATCCCGAAACACATACCAGAAGCCTCTAACCCATAACCCATAACCCAGAGCCTTCTCTCTGTGCCCCCCTCCTTCTCCTCCCCCTCCTCCTCCACCTCGGCCCCCAAGGCTCCCGAGAGGCGTGCCGCGAGTCCCGCTATACATACAAGAAGCCGCTCACCCGTAACCCATAACCCAAAGCCTCCTCCTTGTGTCCCTCTCCCCCTCCTTCTCCTCCCCCTCCTCCTCCGCCACAGCCTCCTCGCCCCCTCCTCCTCTTTCACCCCCGCCTCATTATCATCCTCTTCGATTCTCCCCCCCATCCTCCGCCTTACCCCCCATCCTTCCCTCCCCGTCTTTTTTCCCTCCCCAGCACGCGCGCCCGATTGGGCATCATTTGCACGTCTTGCACTTCAGGGTGCCCTTCTTTTCATCGCGCGCGACATGGGCAGGGTTCGCGGAGAAGGCCGACTTCAACAGTCTTCTCTTGCACGCGCCGCTGCACTGATACGCCTGGCAACTGCGCGCTGTGAGCCCGAGTTCCTTGCAGCCTCCGCACACCACTTTGGCTCCTTTCGCCTTTCGATGATCCTCCACTTGATCCTGCTTCAAATGTTTCGTGTCCGAGAACCCGCCTCCGCTTTCCGTTTGCGATTCCCTGCTTCGCAATTCGTCCGCAAAACCGCCTTCTCCAGCCCTTCCGCGCACTTCCGACACAACCTCTCCCCCGGCTGCGTTGTGCTTCAATTGAGGGGTCGGCGGATGTGGCGCAAGCCTGAAGAATCTCCTTGCCAGGCCAACTCGACCACAGACCTCGGTGCAGCGCGGCAATCGTGAGAGTGCGACTGATGGGGTGGCAAGGCACTCCAGAGACATGACGCGGGCCGACCTGCAATAGGCAAGCACGTCAAACGGACCGTGGCCTTGGAAAAACTGTGGGCGACGCGCGCGCCAGCAGGCTGGCTCTGAGCGGCAGCCATGAGGTGGTGACTTGGAAGAGACGACGTTGGCATGGGGAAGTTCCCAAGGGGCACGTGATCAGATAGCTCGCGGGCCGAACCCTCAACGCCTACGACATTTTCGAACGGCTGGGGACCTGGCTGCTCGAGCCCACATGAAGGCATCTCTCCTCGCCGCCGCCGAAGGCGGAGCCCACAACCGACGATGGGAGGTGGGTACCCAGCACGTGACAAATGGGCGTCAGCGTCCACGTAGACCGAGCACGCATGCAAAGCTGCCGTCCGTAGCGGCTTCATCCAGCACTATGACTTCGATCGCGCATTCGGGGGATTCGGGTTCCCGTTCCTCGGATGGGTCGTCCTGCGAATGGCCCTCGTTGTTCAATGACGAGTTGACGCTGATAGGAAGTATGATCCTCATGGAAACATGTGGCTTCCCTCCGTTTCCTCCTCTCCTATCCCGTCTCTACCCTGGACCCATCCTTTCCATATCTTCCTCCTCTGCTCCCCCCCCTCCCGCCTGCGCGGCGGATATGGTGGCCTGCTGCCAGCCGCCGGCGCCTGCGGCGGGGGGAAAGGAAGGAGTGTGAGGAGGGGGAAGGGGGATGATGGGGGAATGATGATTATGAGGAGGACCGACAGCTAGGAGGGGGAGCAGGGGGCATGCCCCAAAGAGCAACGCCGTCGCCGTCGTCGTCGTCCGTGTCGCCGTGGTGGTGGTGGTGGTGGTGGTGGTCGTCGTCGTCGTCCGCCGTTGCCTCGCCATCGTCGTCGCAGTCCTCCTTCTTCTCCTCCTCCTTTCCGTTCATCGTCGTCGTCGTCGTCGACGTCGTGGCCGTCTCCCACATTTGCCTCGCCGTCGTCGTCGTCGTCCTCCTCCTCCTTCTCCTCCTCCTTCTCCTTTTCCATCATCGTCGTTGCTGTCGTCGTCACCATGAGCATAACCATAACTACCTCCACCATCACCTTCAAATCAACATCATCGTCGTCACCATACTCACCAACACCACCACCACCATTCCCATCACCGTCATCATCGTCATGGTCGCGTCGCCATCATCGGCATCGTCGCCGTCATCCTCATCACCCTCATCACCAACGCCACCATGATCATTATCATCACCATCGTCGTCATCTGCATCGTCATCTTCACCGTCATCATCAGCATCATCAGCTTCACCACCACCACCACCACTATCAAAATCATTATCACAACCACCACCACCACCATCCTCATCATCATCATCATCATCACCATCATCATTAGCATCAGCATCACCATCATCATCATCATCATCATCATCATCATCACCATCATCATCATCATCATCATCATCATCATCATCATCATCATCATCATCATCATCATCATCACCATCACCATCACCATCACCATCACCATCACCATTATCATCATCGGCATCACACATTCGTATCATCACCGTCATCACCATAACCATCAGCACCATTAATTACCATCACCAGCAACACCACACTCATCAACACCATCATCCTCATACCGTGGACCGTTCTGCATCACCCTCTTCATCATCGCTCCTCCGATCCGTCTCCTCCCTCGCGCGCGAGGGCGCGGAGAGGGAGGAGGAGGTGGAGGAGGAGGAAAAGGAGGAGGACGAGGAAGAGGAGGAGGAGGAGGAGGAGGAGGAGGAGGAGGAGGAGGAGGAGGAGGAGAAGGGGAGGAGGAGGAGAAGGAGGAGGAGAAGGGGTAGGAAGGACATGAGGATCAATGGGAAAGAAATGCCAAGAAAAGAGGATACGACGACGATACCGACGACAACGACACCCGGTTTTCGAGCCGTAGCTCGGGTCGCAAGCGGCCGTTCGGGGCGATGCCGAATCCCCCGAAACGCTCTCGGCGAGGCGAACGTGCTGGAACGCATTCTGGGGCGTGAAACTTTCAAGGTAATGACGAGCATGTCCGAACACCTCGCCGAAGGGATAACGATCGGATCGGGCCGAGGGCGGGCAGCGTCCGAAGACCTCGACCATCGAACCCGAACCTTTCCCCTCGATCTATCTCGGCGGCGGGCGAGGGGAAATGAGAAGGAGAATGCCTTCTCAGAAGGCGGCGGGACTTTTCAGAAGCCCTAGCGCCTTCTGAAACATTTCCTGGGTCTGCAGGGAAGGCTCACAACACTTCTCAAAAGGCTGGGGGACTTCCGAGCCTTCTGAGAAGGCCCGCCCATTCTCACTTCCCCCCCTCGCTCCACGCCGACTGACATTGCCCCTGAGTGACCTGGGAAAACGACGATGACGACGCCGAAGCCATCCTGGCTCGTCTGGCGCCCCGCGCGCGCTCTGCGAATGGGCCGCCGCGCCGCTCGGCGTGTCACCGGGCGTGCTGGAACTGGCGGCCTCCTCTTAGGGAGGGGGGGTGCTGATCGAGGAGCGACTGGGGGGGAGGATGAGGAGGAGGAGCGACTTTGAGAGTCTGAGTGCTGGAGGAGGAGGGGGAGGAGAAGGGAAACGGGGAAAAGGAGGGGGAGGAGGTTGAGGGTGGAGGAGGGAAGGAGGAGGAGGAGGATAACGCTGGAGGGATCGAGGGGGAAGGGCGGGGAAAGAGGAGGAGGAGGAGGAAGAGGAGAAGGAGACCAATGAAAACACAAAACGCATGACCGCAGTGTACCCTCTCTCGAACTTTCCTCCTCGCAAGTCCTTGTTTTCATTCCGGGGAGTGTGAGGACCCACAATCGTGCCAAAATACAATTCCCGTCACTGTTGCGTCCAGTCCTAAGCCGTGCCAGCACAACAATCCTGGGACATCAACGCTGCGAATCAACGTTGCTGTTCCGTCCTGACAACTCAAGCCGTGCCAGAACACAATTCCTGGGCCGTCGACTCACGAATCGTCGATGTGCTCGGCGCTGGGGCAATTCCATTTGTGAAACGATTGTATACTTTCGCGACGAATGTGTGCCGCGCTAAGGCGAGAACCACATGTTGAAAACCAACCACCCTCCATCTGTGAAACTGCTGCATCTGTGAAACTGCTGCAAGCTTTTAAGACGAGTGTGAACAGTGCTAAGGCGATATCCACATTTTTGAAAAGGAACCGCCTGCCATCCGCGAAGCTGTTGCAAACATTCAAGACGATGCGCGTTGCTGAAACAAACGAGAACCACATGTTGAAAACCACCCGCCTTCCATCCGTGAAACGGTTGCAAACTTGTAAGATGAGTGTGCGCGGCGCTAAAGCGTCAACCAAATTTTGAAAAGGACCCGCCCTCCTTCCTTGAACATTCGGCGCAGTACTTCAAGCGTCTGCCTGGTGAGGAAGTCTCCGGCGAAAAAGGCCAGGTCCGCCCTGCCGATACGTCTGCGGGTGCGGCAAGGGGGGGGAGACTTGTTTGGAAAAAGGATAGAGGAAGAAGAGGACAAGGAGGAGAACCGAGGAGAGAGGAGAACCGAGGGGGCGAAGGAAGAGGAGAGAGGACAAGGAGGAGAACCGAGGAGAGAGGACAAGAAGGAGAGAGGAGAAGGAGAGAGGACAAGGAGGAGGAGAGAGGAGAACCGAGTAGAGAGGACAAGGAGGAGAACCGAGGAGGGGGCGAAGGAAGGAGGAGAACCGAGGAGAGAGGAGGGGGAAAGACGTCCGTCCTTCCCTCCTGCCGGCCCGCCCTCCTCCCGCAACCTCGCCATGTGCGCGCTCCCACTCGCGGCGCGGCGGGGGGGGGGGCGGGGCACGACGCGGAGAGGAAGGGGAGAAAGAGGAATGCGAGGAATGCGAGCATGAAAGACAGCTGGAGTCTTGAAAGGGGAGAAAGAGGAGAGGGACGAGGGATCTCATGTGCTGGAATACCCTGGGCACCACAATGCTGTCGGAGACTCGCACCCCTCTTCGCTGCAGAAACTCCGCGCACCTCTCCGAAGCCCTCTCGCCTGCCGGATCGCCGGAGGCGGGCTTCCGTGAAAGAAGCAGATGTTTGTAATGGTATCCTCTGATGGTTCCCTGATCAGATCCCCCGTGCACGAACCACGACATCGACGATACCGTACCACAAGTTTCATCAACTACGCAACACACAATGAACATACTTACATAGCATGGTAAACTTACGGAGTGCACAATACAATGCCACAATGAATTCCGTCCATTTGGATTAAGCCAAAACACTTAGCTTAAAGAGCGACAGGGCGTCACATTGTCCTCGCCCTTTCGCGTGCGGGGACGGCATTTGGCAGCAAACCACCCCCAGTCCACTGTCGCAGTGCCACCCGCACACCACAACAAATAAAAAACTCTGGCCTCTCATGGATGGTGTGGGTCTCGCAGGTCGTGGTCATGTGTGTTCCTCCAAGTCCTGTCTCCTTCTTTTCCTCTCTCCTCCTCTCTCCTCCTGTACCCCTCCTCCTCCTCCTCCTCCTCCTCCTCCTCCTCCTCCTCCTTCTTCTCTTCCTCCTCCTCTGGCCGCGCGAATTCCCCCACTGCTCTGCGAAAAACAACGGGGCGGCTACAAGGTCCTCAAGGGGATGTCCTGGACAATCCGCGGAACATAACGCGTCAAGCCGCGATTGGGGGCATTACCTGGCGACAGAGGGAGCGAAGCCTGCAAGTGCCTCAGGGCGTACACTGATGCGTCGCAGCTTCAAGAGCTTGCTGACTTCGGCTCTGTTCCAGAACGCTCTGGAGCAACTTATCATCATCCTGGGTCTGCCTGGGCCTCCTCCTCCTCCTCCTCCTCGTTCTCCTCCTCGGGCCTGAATTGTTTTCCGATGCGTGGACACCCGACCTCTCGACCCCTTCTCCAAGGCTGGCTTTTCAAACCCAGCCTTGTTTTGACCGACACGGGCCTGAAACTGGCCTCCAGAGGCCAAACATGATGACACATTGGCCGGCTCGATAGTGACAGGCGCCTGATGCCTGGGTTCGGTGGTCAACAGTTGGATCCAGGACTGATCGTCGGGCTCGTTCCGACCAACATTACGGAGCGAACCCAGCCTGAGGGGGAACCTTCGGTGGAGACCAACAACGGCTCCCGCCAGATGGTTCCTTATGATCATCATTAAAAATAGCGCTCTCGCGCGGGACTCCTCACGATGTGTGCAGGAATGGTGATTTCGCGTGGGACTTCTTCGCAATTTATTCAGACGCCGCGCTCTCGACACTTAGGCATCACGCTGTCGCTTTAGCCTCTCTCGGGATTTACTTGGGAATCGCGCTTCCGCTCGAGTTCTTCGCGATTCATGCAGTACTCACGCTTCAGCAACCCGCGTGCTCGACATGGCCGCGTGGGCCCGCCTTCCCGACCCGCCCGCTAGGGGCTGCCCGCCCGATCTGCCCGTCTGGTTCTACTTCATGTGTTCTGTTCCTAACCCCCACCCCTGCTAATATATCTCATGTTCCATCGTTCTCTCTCCTCTTGAAGGCTGCGCTAAATGCGCGTGGCGAATAAGGAAACGATGCCCCCCACGGGGATACGATCGAAGACGGCTGTGGCGGGTGCCAAGGGTATGGGATATACGTCTTGAATGGCACACGGTCAGGTAGTAGCGAACAATCCTAAACTGTCTGTTGAATCCTCGCTCGTAGAGAACAACTAATGCTGATCCCCTCACCGATGCGTATTGACTTTATTGCACTTGAAATGCCCCCCTCGGAGCTCGCACCATATTTTTGGTTAAAAAACGGATTCATGCTCAAACTGGGTCCTTAGCCCCCAAGTTGCAACAACAACGGCTTCCGCCTTAACTGTGTTTCCTCATTACTTATTCCGACATCGCGCCCTCGCGCGAGACTTCCTCACCAGGTATGCAGGAATCTTGCTCTTGCGTGGGACTTCTTCGCAATGTATTCAGACGCCGCGCCCTTGACACTCAAGAATCACGCTGTCGCTTTGGCCTTTTCCACGATTTATCCGGGAATCGCGTTATTGCTCGAACTCTCTTCGCGACTCATGCAGTACTCACACTTCAACAACACGCCTTCGCAACCTGGCCGCTCTCGGGATTTATTTGGGAATCGCGCTGTCGCTCTGCCCCTCTCGGGATATATTTGGGAATCGCGCTTTCGCTCGAGACTTCCTCACGATTCATGCAGGACTCACGCTTCAGCAGCCCGCGTGCTAGACATGGCCGCTCGGGCTCGCCTTCCTGACCCGCCCGCTTGGGTCTGCCCGCCCGGTCTGCCCGTCAGGTTAAACCACATGTTGTATGTTCCTAACCCCCTCTCCTGCTAATTTCTCTGGTGCTCTATCCTTCTCCATCTCCCTTCCATCCGTCCTTCCTGCCCCTGTTCTAGGGGCTGCGCAAAATTCGCGTGGCAGGTAAAGGAGACATACCCATCAGGGGGTCAAAGACGAAGAGGGTGGGCACTGAAGGTTTGGAATATACGTGTTGAATGAAACGCGTCGCCGCGGGCGGAAAGGTCAGAAGAATCTATGAATGATTGTTGTGGTTGAGTTCTCATTGCTAAGGAGTGTGACAAATATTGCTGATACCCCCCGTCCAGTAGCTCCCAGGGCTCACATCAAAGGAAAGGGACATGACACCCGACTGTGACCCTGGCCCCCCAGCTACATCAACAATGGCTCCCACTTGATACTTCGTCGCAATTGCGAGGGATTCCTCGCAATGTATTCAGACGCCGCGCCCTCGACCCTCAGGAATCACGCTCTCGCTTTGGCCTTCTGCGTGATTTATGTGGGGATCGCGCTATCGCCTGCTCGACCTGTCCGGCCAAGCCCGCTTTCCCGACCCGCCCGTCGGAGTCGACCCGCCCGATCAATCCGTCTGGCTCTGCCACGTGGTTTCTGCTGCTAGCCCGCCTCCTGCTATTCTCCCTCTCCCTCTCGTGCTCCATCCTCCTCCCTCCCCCTTGTCCCTTCCTTCCTTCCATCCTCTCTTCCTCTGCCTCAGGTGTTGCGCAACATACACGTTGCGGGTAAGAAAAACATATACCCCAAAAGGGTTACGATCGAACACGAAGAGGGCAGGCATCGAGGGTTCGGGTATACGCATTGTCTGGCGCGCGAGCAGATAAGAACGAGCAGCATTTAAATTCTTATTGCGGTTGTTGTTGGTGCTGTAATAATTGTTGTTGATGTTGTTGCAGTTTTAGTTGTAAGTGTGGTTGGTGTTGAATTCTTTTTTAAATCAAAAATGTTGTTCATCCCCCCTCTGGTAACCATTGCGTTGATCAATTGAAATGCTCCTCCCGGGGCTCGCACCCAGTTTTTAAACACCGGAAAACTGGGGGTCACCAAACGGGGTCCCTGGCCCCCGAATTACAACAACAACGGCTCCCGCCGTATATTTTCTCATCTGATTGACAAATCGTGCTCTCGCGTAGGATTTTCTCGCAACTTATTCAGACGCCGCGCCCTCGACACTCAATTATCACGCTCTCGCTTTGGCCTTTTCCACGATTTATTCGGGATCGCGTTATTGCTCGAACTCTCCTCGCGATTCATGCAGTACTCACACTTCAACGACACGCCTTCTCGACCTGGCCGCTTAGGCTCGGCTTCCTGACCCGCCGGGTAGGGTCGACCGGCCCGATGGGAACGTCTGGTTCTGCCACGTGGTTTCTGCTCCCAACCACCCCCCTCGTGGCAATCCCGTGCTCCATCATTCTCCCTCCCACTTCCATCCATCCTCGCTCCCCCTGTTTCAGGGGAGGCACCAAGTACACGCGGCAGGTAGGAAAGATACACCCCAAGTGGGCACGATCGAAGACGAAGAGGGCAAGTACCGAGGGTTTGTGGTATATTTATATATACGTGTTGCAGAGCACGCGAGGAAGTAACAGAAAACAAGATCAAACTGATTGTTGTTGCTGCTGTAGTTGTTGTTACTGAAATCCCACACTTGAATATTATTGTTGATCCCCCCACCGGTGCACATGGTGCTGCACATTGTGTTTTTCAATTTGAATGCTCCTCCAAGGGCTCGCATCCAGTTGCTTATCATGGAGAATCTTCCTGCTCTGACTGGTCCCCTGGTCCCCGCAACACAACAAAAGCAGCACCGGCTTCCACCTTATACTTCCTCACCATGTATTCCACAATCGCGCTCTCGCGCGGGACTTCCTCACCATGTATGCAGGAATCGCGATTTCGCGTGGGACTTTGTCGCAAGTTATTGAAACGCCGCGCCCTCGACACTCATGACTTAGGCTCTCGCTCCTGCCTTTCTCATTATTTCCTCGGGAATAGCGCTATCACTCGAGATTTGTCATTGTACTGGCCCTGCAAACGTGCTGCAACGGATTTTTGCGCGGATTTCTGTCAACACAAAGTCCCGGAACGGCGAGCGAACAACGAAGGTAATTTCACGCGGATTGTTCGTAGTCTTCAGTCCTGGCCAACATGAATCCGCATGAAATTCATTCCGAAATCTGGAACAAAATTCTCCAGGACCATCCGGGCCCATCCCTGTGTTTTCCAAAAAGGAAGTCCACTCTGCGATGTTGGCGCCATGAGACTTGCTCGCAATTCGTGCAAGGCTCACAATGCAGCAGCCCGCCTGCTCGACCTGGGTGCCTGGGCCCGCCTTCGCGACCCGCCCGCTAGGGTCTGCCCGCCCGGTCTGCCCGTCTGGTTCTGCCACGTGCTTTCCCCTGCTAGCCCCCCCTGCTAGTTTATCTCGTCCTTCCCCCTCCCCCTTCCATCCGTCCTCTCTTCCCCTGTCTTAAGGTCTGCGATCGATGTACGTGACAGGTAAATGAGACATAACCCTAAATGGGGTACGATCGAAGACGAAGTGGGCGGACACGGAAGGTTTGATATATACGTGTCGAATGGCACGCGAGTGGTGTTGTTGGTGTTCGTTGGTGTATGTGGTTGTTTGTTAGTGTTTGTTTGTTGGTGCTTGTTGTTTATTGTTGCTGCTTGTTTCTGGTAGTTTGAAAAGATTGTTCTTGCGTCTGTTGTTTTTTGTTTATCGTCGGTGTCCCACCCGCGACCCGGCCCGCGACCCACCCGCCAACAACGACCCACCCGCGACCCACCCACTTGCTTTGACAAGTAAATTGGCGCCTGCGGTGGGCTCGTTGTATAATTTGTGTAAACAATCGGCGCCTGCGACGAGCTTCTTCAGGGCCTCGCAAAATGCCAACGACCCCGCCACCCCGTCACTGCTATCCGCAACTGCGGGGTCTCTCTCTCCCTCTCTCTCTCTCTCTCTCCCTTTAGCTCTCCCTCTATATCTCTATATATATAAAACACACGTATATGTACATACATTGATACAGCTACGAGTACATACATCAATACATAAATCAACATATACCGACCTTTTAATCGTATGCCTATTTGTACTATTACTACTGCATCAATATGATTATCATTTTTCTGTAGTATGATCAATATCAAAACTAGTATTAGCTTTAAACGTGTTGTTTATTATTGTTGTTAGTAGTGCTAATATTCGTATGAGCTTTCGCATTCGGTGATAGCATTCTGAGTAATCTCATGAACATGATTGTTATTGTACTTACCCGTATGGTCCGTATGTGTGTTATCATTCTTACTGTTGAATGATTATTTGGCGTAGATGCGTTGCGATAGCTCTGAGGAGCCCCAAGCATTGTAAATCACTCCCCCCCATTCCTCACTTGGAGGTGGCCGAGGGGTTTGAGCTGGATGGGCACCGAGAAACCCGGTCAAGCGGGGGTAAACGCAAATCCGTTCAAAATCGGTCCCCTGACCTCTCCCAGGGTCCATCTGGTGCAATTTTTCACCCTGGGCCCATGTTTGATGGTCGGGGCCAGAAAACGGCCCACAGAGGTGGAAAACAATATTTTCGAACCCAAGATCTCGAACCTCGCCCCCCTTTCCTGCTGGCCATGCTGGGCAACCTCAGACCCCCAACCGCCTCCGACCACAGGTGTTGTTCATCATTGCCCGCTGATGCTCCTCACCCCCCATCTTGGACGCCCCCGAGAAGGTCGAGCATCGATCCTCTGTCTGGCAGGCGGAAGACTCGGGTTCGGGTGACCCGGGTTGGTCTGACGGGTCCGTCAGGAAATTGACGAGACCCGATTTAAAAACTGCCGCGAGCTCCCGCCTCAAACATCCCGCGAAAACTGGGCCGCCGAAGTCGAGGAGCGCGGGCCCGCTGAAGCGCGGCGGGAAGCCCGAGTTCTGGCGAACTCGAATGTTGCGTCTCTCCGATTCGGAGCCCTCCTCCCCAGGCGGGTGCGGCCAGAGCTCCTCCCGCGCCCACGTCTGCGCGCGGGCCGTGGCCGGCTGCTGCGGCTGCTGCGGCCGCTGCGGCACGCGCAGAGGCGCGGGCGAGATCTGCAGCGCGCCGAGGATGGGGCGCCCGGGCGCCGCCTGGGAGGACGTTTCTTTTTCCCTCCTCCCTCCCTGCCTCCCTCCCTGCCTCCCTCCCTGCCTCCCTCCTCCCTCCTCCACGTCCACCTCCTCCTCCTCGTCCTTCTCGTCCTCCTCCTCCTCTTCCTCCTGCCTGCAGCCTGCAATCGAGTGCCGCACGCCCCCAGCAGAGGTACTCCAATCACACCTGTTCGCGAATCGCTGAATCCTGAGTCCTGAATCCTGCTCCTCCTCCGCCTCCTCCGTCATCTCCGTCCTTCCCTCCCTCCCTCGCCCTCGCTCCTCATTCCCCCTTCATTCCCGATTCCCCTCCATCCCCGCTCCTCCTCAGCTCTTCGCTGAAGTCTCGCATCGGCAAGGCAATCGTGGTGTTCGGCCTGGGAGGTCTCACTCTGTGCTTCTCCCTATAACTCGCCTGGGCATCGTTTCTGGGCGGGAAGGTCGGGGGATGCGGAGACGAGGTATTCGGTGAGCATGGGGGGGATGATGAGGAAGAGGATGAGGAGGAGGAATAATACTTAGAGGAAAAGGGTGATGGTGATGATGTTGATGATGAATATTATGATGCTGATGCTGATGCTGATGCTGATGCTGATGCTGCTGCTGATACTGATACTGATGCTGATGTTGATGATGATGATGATGATGATGATGATGATGATGATGATGATGATGATGATGATGATAATGATCAAGATGATGGTGCGGATGATGATGACGATGGTGGCAATGAGGATGGTGCGTGATGCTGACTATGGTGATGGTGATGGTGATGATGATGAAGTTGTTCATAATTATGATGATGCTGCGACTGATGATGCTGCTAACGTTGACCGAGGAGGTCCCAAACCCCAGTCGGCCTCTTCGGGAGCGCTCTCGGTCAGGCTGCAGCTTGGTTGAGAATTCAACGGGGCCCTCGTCTTCCCGACGATCGCAATTTAGTGGAAGAACTGAACATCACATCGCGACAACGCACTCACATAAACAACACTGTTCGAGAACAATTCGCCACATCCTGCAAGACCAGGCGCGAGAACGGACAAGCGGAAACCCAGAGATGAGAAACAAGCGGCAAAGTACGCTGCAGAGCGGATATTATTACATGCCAACCGAACATTTGAGTAACGCTACCCCCCCCCCAAGGGCACAGCAGTATCTACAGCACTCAACACTTTGGCGGTGCCTGGCAATGGTTGATCAAGCATTGCGCACAGACTGCAAATAAGGCGCCGAGCTCCAGGGAAGGAGGGGCTTGCAGGAATGCTTAAGTTGAGGGGAACTCTTTTGGACGCACTTGGGGGGGGCACCATGAATGACATACCGAATTCGGGGAAGCAGCAAAGTAGACTTCAGGATGACTCACAAGTTTTTAAGGAAGGTGGCGGTTTTGCTCTGGAGATTGGTGATTCCGGGGTCGGGCTCGAAACGGGGAATCGCCCTGATGCTCCTGATATTTGCAGCAACAGAGACGCACATCGAACTGTAATGCCAATCGCAGAACCTGCGCACAGCAAGGACGTCGAAGCCCCCATCCTCGAGAAACTGGAGCCTGTCACGCACTGCTTGGACAACTTCTGAGTGGACTCCAGCTCCGTACATTGCAGCACGGCTCTCTCTGGATAGTCAACTCGGCTTAACAAAGAAGCAGACATCCTTGAACAAACGAATCACATCTGTCGGGATGGCGAACCTCGGCACCGGGGACACAGTCTGCTCACTCCGGTTCGCAGCAGCGAGAGCAGGGAACACCTGAAGCACAGATGGCAAAACGGAGAAAGTCCCCATGTTGTCATTCCTAATGTTCGTCATCTGCCCCGCTTTGAGCCACCATGATGATGCTGATGACGATGATGTTGGTGATGATGATGATGGTTATGATGATAGTGATACGGATGACGACGATGAGGATCATGATACTAATGTAATAATGATAATGATGATGATGCTGACGATGACGACGATGACGATGATGATGCTGATGATGCTGCTGCTGCTGCTAATGATGGTGATGGCGAAGACGAGAAGGAGGAAGAGGAGGGAAGGAGGAAGGCGGAGGAGGATGAGGAGGAGGAGGAATGGGGAGGAGGAAGGGCCAAGATTAGTCGACACCGAATCGGGACATCGTATCGTCAGCGCCTCGACCGCATCGCCGCGGCTCTCCGTCCGCCCAGATGGGGTGGGGGGCGGGGCACCGAGCCCGGGCCTGGAGCGGCAGCACCAGCAGCGATCTGCCCCTGCGGAACGGCAGGGCATCGAGGCTCGCGAACTGCGGCGGCTCGAGTCTCCGCAGGAGGGTGGGGCTCCTCCTCCCTCATTCCTCCCTCCCCCTCCTCCTCCCCCTCCTCCTCCTCCTCCCTCCCTTCTAATCCTCCTCCCTCCGTCCTCCCTGCTCCCTCCCTGCCTCCCTCCTCCTCCTCCCTGTTCATCCTCCTTCCTTCCTTCCGTCTGGGAAGGTGAAGAAGCGCGGTCAACCGCTGGCAGCCACGACTGACCGGCGAGGAGGAGAGGGAGGCAGGGAGAAGCAGGCAGGCATCAGACGACGACGAGCACGCAGGCGGGAGGGCAGGGCAGGCGGGACAAAGCAGCTGGGCGGGCATGCGGGACGGGACAACGGGGATCCTCCTCGTCCTATGTTTGCCATCAGGGGAGCTTATATCGACGGGGATCGTAGCGTCGATGTCCTCCTCCTCCTCCTCCTCCTTCCCTTCTGCTCTTCCTCCTCCTCCTCCTCCACCTCATCCCTTCCTATCGTGGAGGCTGGCCCCTTGTCCAAACGGGGCTCTCGCCTGAACGACAGGCCCGTCGGGCGCTCGTCTTTCCAGGGGGTGCTCCCCGCGGTGATAAGAAATGACTGTAGGGGCTTAGGAGGGGACTCTGGGACGGGAGGGCCTATGACAGCTGGACCCAGGACACCACAACATCCTTCGAGAACATGAGACCCTCCGCCGGCCAAAACACACAGACCATCCAAGGGTACCCTCCTCAGGCTGCACAAGAACATCCAACAACCCCGAAGAACACTCAAGTACCCTCCCCGAGCCGGCCTCGATCTTCTACCTCGGACCGACCGGCCGACCGTACAGCATCGTTGATGCATCATGAGTCTACTCTAATCCTCCTCCCTCCTCACACTGCCTCCTCCTCCGTACGGCAAATTCGTGTCGTGACGACTTCGGCGTTGGTTTCTGACACCGCGTGGATTTTTCAACCTTTAAGGATTGGCAGCGTTTCGATCGCCAGGTCGTTCCATGTTGGTCGATTCTGGGCCATCGGCGGCGTTCGGTGTAGGTGGTTTCATGATTATTTTCTTTTCTCTTGTTTTCTCTCTCTCTCTCTCTATCTCTCTCTTTCTGCACAAACCTCCTTCCCCTGCTCGGGGGAGGGGTTTATTCCTCCCCCTGCCCCCTCCCCTGGGTCTGGACGGGGCGCCCCGCGATGGATTAGAGCGTCCAGGATGGTCCAAGATGGCTCCAAGAGGGTCTCAGAGAGCCCAAGATGGCCAAGAGGCCTCTAGACGGCCCCAAGACGACCAAACCCCTTCAAACACCAACGGAAATCACTGTCGTTTGCCTTCTCGCCTCTTCGTTTCCGATGAGCTCTCGAAGTCTCAGGATGGTCCCAAGACGACCCAAGAAAGTCCAACGAGGGGCCCAAGAGGCTCCCAAGAGGGCCCCAAGAGCGCCCAAGAGCGCCTCAAGAGCGCCCCAAGAGGGCCTCCAAATGCCCATGTTGAGCCTCGGAAGGGGGGGACCTGCATGTCCTACTCCCCCCTTTTGACGCATGGGGCCAAGATGGCCCCAGGAGGCCTCCCAGACCGTTCCAAGAAGCCACCAGAGGGCCCCAAGACTCACAACATGAGCCCCAAGAGTGTCCCAAGAGGCCCCACGGGGGCCGAAAGAGAGCCCTTCAGATGGCCTGCGTCGTCCTTCAGGAACCTCTCACAACAACATACCTCCAACGCCCGACATCTTATCCTACTTGTCATCGTCTGTTCCTTGCCTCCTCCTTTCCTGCCCCCTCCCTCTCCTTCCTCCTCCTTATCCTCCTCTTGTTCCTCCTCATCCTCCTCCTCTTCCTCCTCTTCCTCCTCTTCATCTTCCACGTGCCGCATTCCTCCTCCTTCTTCTCCTCATCATCCTCCTCTTCCCCTCTCCTCCTCCTCCTTCTCCTCCTCCTCCTCCTCCTCTTCCTCCTCCTCCTCCTCTTTGTCGTCCTCCTCTTTTCCCACCCCCTCCTCCTCCTCCTCATTCTCCTCCTACGCTTAAGATGGTCCCAGGAGGTCGGACATGGCTCAAGATAGTCTCCGGCAGACCTCGACGAGGCCTCAGGACAGCCACGAACATGGCTCACGATAGCCTCCAAGAGGCCTCAAGACAGCCTCCGATCGTGTCTGGCAGGGCTGGTGGGATACGCAGAACGTCAAACATTAAACGCCCGCGATGGGGTCGCACCCGCGTCGGCACGGCACGAACCTGCTGTAGCCGCTTTGGCTCAGGCAAAAGAGCTCGAGAATCACGGCTCAACCCAGCGGCTCAGCCCACGCCCGCGTTTTTTGTTGTTTTTTTTGGGCCGGAGGAGCAGAAGATGGGAGCGGACAACGATAATATGCACAGCTCGCCTCGTCAAACGTGCCGACCACTTTCGTGCACGTCGCCATGCTGCCCTGCGACCGTGGTCGAAACTCCGGCCAGGGATGACTCAATGACTCAACCCAAACCCACGAGTCCTGCCCTCACCTCAACAATGCACGCTTATTTGAGGGGCCCGTAACAACTGCTGGGTCTTGGTGGCGAGGGTATGGCACGCGCTGAACAATCAACCACGACTGTTCACCGGTGAAGCCTAACTCCGGGCACCGCGCCCCTTGACATACTTCGGCGCGCGATTCTCATCTTCGCACCTCCACGGGTGGCCCAGGGCACGCACTCAACAACCAACTGCGATTTGTTTCAGGGGCGGCTCGGGTGCTTGCCAGCAGCGGTAACTCGGTCGTCATATTGCCCATCACTCAAGCACATGCAGGTATGAAGCCGATGGGAGTCTGCCGTACAGTGTCAACATGCTTGCCAAGCCTTGAAGTATGGTATCGTTTTTGACTGGATCAACGCCGTGGTTTATTTGCAGTGGTGGGCTTCTGCTAATTAATCGTTTAGTTTCTGGCCGTTGCTTACCAAGGCGTTGGTTTCGTCTCGGAAGCATCGCACTGCCCAAGCGTCTTTCAGTTTCATCGGTCCTATTCCTCAAACTTTACCTGCTTTCTCCCTCACTTGAGTTCTGCCGTGCTAAATAGAGGCCTCCTAGATTGGGTGAGGTGGGGTCGGAGAATCGCGCCATATCGCTGATGGATCGCCGATGCATCGGCGACATCGGCGTGGAGAACATCAGGCTCCACATCGAGCCGCATTGCCGAGTTCTGCCACAATGCCAGCGCGAGAACATCGTTCCTATCACCTGCAACGGACGGATTGCTCTCCAAATTGTGCTGCGCTGGTACTCGCAACGCGCGATGGGTTTCGTCGCGCAGGGTACTACAGCAATCAACATCTACAGGCGGCGCCGCTTTCGTTTCCCTGGGCGTAATTTTCGGCGGGCCGGAGCGAAAACCTCCAGGTGCTCGTGTGGGTCGCAAATGCAATATTTCCCGCTCTCTTTGATATGATATCGTCAATCGTTTTATTCCCATTCCACTCCTCCCTCATCCTTCCTCCTCCTCTCTCATCTTCCTCCTTTCCACCCTCCTCAGAAAACGAGACGAGGTCGGAGAACATGGAAGTGGGGGAGGAGGCGGGAAGAGAGCGTGAGGATGCAGGGGGCTGGAAGGGTGTAAGTGATACAGCACCTGCACACAGCACACAGACACAGCTCTACTATGCATCAAGAACAATCACGGTTCTGGGTATGCAAAGCGGACCTCGTCGCTTGGCGACTCGCGGCCCAACCGAGACGGCATGGTGCGTGGGGCGGCAGCCAGGCACAACACGCCGAATCGGTTGGCATTGCGCGCTGGGGACAGCTGCCCAAGCCGTGAGCGGACACAGGGCACTACGGAGTTTAGGTGGCACACGCCACCACCTCCCACGGAAAACGCAAAGCCCTGGGGGCCGCCCACGACCACCACAGGCGCCTGGCTATCGCGGCCACCAGCAGGGCAAGGGCAAGGCTGAGACTGAGGGCCGTATTACACCCAACCACACAGGCATCCCCCCGCCAATACAGATTTCACAACGTCCGCCCCCAAACCAAACGCCCTCTGCGTTCCGAACCGAGACCGAGGGCCGTGCTACACCCAACGATGGAGGCAACCCCCCTCCGATCTAGGTTTCGCAACGTGCACCCCCAACCTCAATGTAAGGAAAGGCCGGTTGCCATTCAGCCACACCGTGGATGCATGTCATGACATTGTGCCCGCGGGGTCGGATTGGAAACCAGAATACGGTAACCAGCCCCCGCCCAGGGGGCGGTGAGGAGGCAGGAGGCAAGTGGGGGGAGGCGAGAGCGAGGACACGAGAGGGAGAACGCGAAGGAGAGAGAGAGAGAGAGAGAGACAGAGGAGGCAATAAGGAACAAGGAAGATGGAGGAGCGAGGGCTAGAAGGGCAACTCGTCTTCATGCCCTTGAGCATCCAGAACAGCGGTATGCTGCCTGCAATTAGCAACAAATCTTCATACCCGCATCGGTGCCCCATGGTACGCTGAGGTATGGTAGAATGCCACGGGCTGTCTGGTAAGGTTTCTTTTGGTGAGCCTGGTGAGCCGATTTTCCACCACCATGACAATATGTAGGACGGGGGAGAGGGGAGAATAGGGGAGGTCCTCCTCCTCCTCCTCCTCCTCCGGCTCCTACCGATGGTAGTGGTGAAGGAAAATCGGCCTATCATTATTTAACCTTCTACGCGACCCCCCCCGCCCAATCCTAGCCGCCTCCACCTGGCCACCGCTCCTCCTCGTCGAGGCTGCCTGGGCCCCTCGACGCCTCCCCGTGGCCATCTCTCCGAGGCGTCTCCAAGGCAGCTCAGGAAGACCACAAGGTCGCCAAGATGGCCCAGCATTGCCCCAACACGCGCCTACCAGCCCCCAAGACACGGCTCAAGATGGCCCAAAACAAAGCTTCAAGCTGGCCCAGGACGACCTCCCGGAGGACCCACGACGGCCTAAGGGTGCCACTGCACGGCTCAAGAAGGTCCCCAAATGGCTCCACGACGGGTCCAAGAGATGCCCAATGCAGCCAAGAGAGCCTGAAGACGGCCCCAAGAGGGCCTCAAGGGATTCCCAAGACTGCGTCGCAGGCTGCCAGTCGGGCCAATTAGGCTCCATGAGAGCTCCTCAGGAAATCGAGACAAGAAGGGTCACATGTGACAGCCTTCCAGGCGGTGCTCCAAAGGTCACCGCACAGAATGCGTTGCTGGCGCTGTGGCGAAGTTGCCGCAAACAACAACAGACACTCAAATTTCGTGTGCTCACTACAACCTGAACCAACCTGGCTTGACATACAGTGCGGGGGCGGCCGCAAGAAACCCTCGCAAGAAACCCAATCCTGAGAGCCCACGCGCGAAGTACAACTGAGGAGAAACCCGGAGCACCCTGAACGCAGCAGCTCCTTCAACGGCTGCGGGAAGTCACCGCGCAGCGCGAGGAGCGAAGAAACCCAGGACACCCTGACGAAGCACATCTGGTTTCTTGATGCGTGCTCCGACTGTACTCAACCCTAATATTACCGCGAACGTCTTGGCAATTTTCTGAGCACCGCACGATTGGAAACAGTGGCCTCGGCCGCCACAGCCTTTCGCTGGCTCCTACTGCGGACCGTCGAGCTGCGAAGCCTGGACATGCAGCTTTAATTGCGAGTTGCCCCTGATGAAGAATCGAAGTCAGAGGAGGAGAAGGAGGAGGGGTGGATAGGAGATGAAGAGGTGAGGCAGAGGATTACCAGCTGACACCGCTGGTGGGGGCACCGTGTGTGACTTCCAGCGAGGCGGGCGATCGTACGGCATGAAGGCGCCAACCAGATCTGCACGGAGTCTGGACAAGCCTACCATCGATCCAAGATCGGTGTGTCTGTTCTAATGGCTTAACCCAGAAAACATATACACCGACCCTGGATGCATGATCGACCTGGCCGGGATAGGCGTAGGTATATAGTTGGCGTCCTTCGGTAAGGGGGGATGACGGGACGGGGGTAGGTCGAAGAAGGGGCGGGGGATAGGCTTGACTCGGAAAAACGGTTGGGGCCAAGTCTGGGCCTGGGCACCCTGTACCCATTACCACAAGTGTGGGACCAGAGTTCGCCCTTGGGGTGTTTCCGCATCGGATGCAACAGAGAAACGCCATGTACAGGACCAGCAATGCTCCCCGAAGGTGCCACGAAAGCAACTCTACGGAGGAGGAGGGGGATGCAGGAGGAGGAGGAGGAAGAGGAGGAGGGTGAGGAGGAGGAGGAGGACGAGGAGGAGGAGGAGGAGGACGAGGAGGAGGAGGAGGGAGGAGGGGGAGGGGGAGGAGGAGGAGGAGGGGGAGGAGGAGGAGGAGGAGGAGGAGGAGGAGGAGGAGGAGGAGGAGGCGAGGAGGGGAGTGGGAGGGGAGGAGAAGGAGGAGGAGGAGGAGGAGGAGGAGGAGGAGGAGGAGGAGGAGGAGGAGGAGGAGGAGGCGAGGGAGGGGGAGTGGGAGGGGAGGAGAAGGAGGAGGAGGAGGAGGAGGAGGGGAGGAGGAGGAGGAGGAGGAGGAGGAGGAGAGGAGGAGGAGGAGGAGGAGGAGGAGGAGGAGGAGGAGGAGGAGGAGAGGAGGAGAGGAGAGAGGAGGGAGGGAGGGAGGGAGGGAGGAGGAGGAGGAGGAGGAGGGAGGGAGAAGGAGGATGGAGGGAGGAGGAGGAGGAGGAGGAGGGAGGGAGGAGGAGGGCGGGAAGAGGGAGGCGGAGCGCCCCGAAGGTGCCACGAAAGAAGCCCTTGAGGCAGCCGAGAGGAGGTGCGGGAGGAGTCTGAGACGCCTGTCCTCTCCGCCTCCTCAGCAAGCCGCCGCCCTCGCGCCACACCCTTGGAGCCGTGGTGCTGCCACGGGGAGCGCAGAGGGAGGAACGAAGGGCATGGCGAGCCACGGCCACGAACGAGGTCCCAGACCCAGAGACCTAGATTCTTAGGGAACGGGCCGACACGCAGAGCCCCAGAGCCCCTCCTGAGCCACAAACGGTCCCTAGTTCAGCGTCTTCGCTGCATCTCGGCGGCCGCGCAGGGCCCCCCCCCTGGGGAGGAAACTCCCAACCTTGGCGGCGTGCACGGGGGCTTCTAAGGAAGCGGGGTCCTTCTTCAAAAAATCAAGCGGCTTCGGAGGCAACCTCTTAGAAACCAGGATGGGGTTCTTTAGAAGCGCCCCCGCCTCTGAGAAGGCCGCCACCCTCTCGTGCCATCCTCCTACGCGCGCAACCAACAACCCTCGCGGTGGCGACGGAGCTACGGGCTCTCCCCAAAACCAAAGCAGGCTCCACATGGGAACCCACACTTTCCCTGCAGGTCAGGTTTCCGAAACACTGCTAGGGGATCAGGACTTGATTGCTGTTTATAACGACGTGAGAACGCGGGGAAGTCCAGTATCCCAACGTCGATTTGACCCGCATGGGTACGGCTTGTAAGTGGTCGCAGATCAAGCAAAACGGGCGGGGGGCAAGACCGAAGGGACTCAATGTGGCAGCAGAGGCAATCATGCAGGCACGATTCCGTCCTTGCGCTGGAGCTGCGATGACGGTAAGCGTGCACCGTGAC